CTATCACATCTCGTCCGAATGACCTGAAATTTTGCACACACATCCCAAATGACACAACAAAACTATTGCAACTCTCGGAATTCCATTACGACCCCTATATCAAAATCTTGCCTATCAACCAGAAAGCGCCGAAATCTCAATTTCGTCAATCCAAGCCTAAACCTTCCACGGACTTCCAAAATGCATTTCGATCACGCTCCTAAGTCCCAGATTACCTAAGGGAGCTAACCAAATCATAAAAATTCCAATCCGAGATCATATACAAACAAGTCAAATATTGGTCAAACCTTTCAAATTTTAAGCTTTCAACTGAGACTATTCTTCAAAATTAAATTCTGATTAACCTGAAACCCAACTCCAACGATTTACATAAGTCATATTGCATTACACGGGGCAAGTCATGCCCGAGAACCGTAATAAATTTGAAGAAATTGGCGAGATAGTCTCTTTAAAACTGTCAAAAGGCCACTAAAAGGTACCATGACACAAATGGTATCACTTGTTTTCGGATGAGAAAAAAAAAATTTGTCTCAAATTGTCATTTGTTTTGAGCATGTAATCATACTTTCTCAATTCTTCCTAAAATAATGAAATAATAATCAAAATTCAATGTAAAATTTATCACAATGATTCCTAATTCTTTTTTAAAAAAATAGAGTATTTTAATGCAAGAAAAAAAGGCAAAGTTATTACNTATTAAATGATATTTTTCTTGACTCCTCTCTATTAATTTATAAGATAGGCGTGTCGTAATGTTATAAGTAGTTAATTAAGAAAGATTGATTTTTAGAATTTTTATAAGAATAGTAAGAAAAATGTTAATTAATTTGATTATTCAAGGAAGGATAATATTTTCTCATTTGCTTGAGGTTTGAACATGAGAAAGAAAAGAAGAAAAAAGAAAAAGAAAATAACACTTGAAAAATATTCGAGCATTCAATTATGCATTTTATTGGCATGTGATCTATAAATTAAAAAAGAGATGTCAGTGAAAGAAGAGGAAGATAGAGAATTATAACTAATATTATTGAAGAAGTGACTATTGAATCTCTTAATATATCACATAAATCATGAACATTACGAGAAAAAGTTGATCAAGAGGGAGGAAGTCGTGTTTTGTAATTTTTCATAAAATCGGTAGAAGAAGAAATGATAATTGAGTTGATTATTTTAGGAAGGATAATAGTAGTTTCTAATTTACATTCTAATTTTCAAAAGAATAGAAAGACATGAATATAATAGAGAAAAGAATAAAATAAGAAGATTAGAAGAGGTAAAGAAATGGAAAAGAGAGCGAGGAAGGGTGGGAATCGATAAATAGTAGTTTGAATGAATGTATAGAAGTGATAGGATTACATGACAGAAAATTATCAAGAACAAATATGAAAAAATATAAGGGAAGGAAGGGCTAATAAAGAGAAAAAATAACAAAAAAAAAAAGGAAAAGGAAATTTAAAAGATATCAAGGAAGTAGTGAGAATATGATCAAATGAAAAGCTTTCTTTTTGCTTTTCCTTCATAAAATATATAAAATCGTGAAAATAGAAGCTTTTAAAACTATTTACTAGAAATTTTAATAACAAAACTGAGATAGGAGGTTTATGTTTAAGTGGCTACAATTGTCCCTTTTAACTAGAAATGCATAGAATTTTGATACAAAGAAGTAGAATAAGAATAATTTTTGACTTAATTATTTATTAGATAAAAATAGTTTCTATAATAACATGATTGTTTCAATAATATTATTTTAATTCAGTTATTTATAAAAAGGAATATAGCATTAATTTAATCACGTGCGCAAAGTGCGGACAAATTTACTAGTTCTTTAATATTTTGTTGAGTCCAACTTCTTTTACCGCTACACATTAGTTTGGGAATATTGAGTTGTCGTGTATTAAATTGGACAATCCTCCTTTATGAAAAGTTTTTGGAGTTTGAGTCAAACTGAAGGGCCATATGTATTTTCACAGGCAACGTTGTTGTTTTTGTCTTGTGTAGATGTTTAACCCGGGAAATGTGAGTAACAATTAAAGATGATTTGTGGTTTTAAAAATATGTGATTTATTCCAATATTAGTGAATATACAAGTAATATTAAGTTTAAGTAAAAAGAATTGATGAACCACATCAGTGTTATTTGAGCAATAAGGACCTCGTGCTCGATTATCTCGGGGGCCTCGAGGTATGTTAAGAGCAATAAAGTATGAACAATAAAGTAAGAACAATAAAGTTGAAGAACAATTATGGAGCACACTAAACAAGAAAGACAGAGTAGAATGTTCTATTGCAGTGAATAATATGATTTTTACAAATGACTAGGTCCCCTTTATATAGGAGGAAAAAACCTTAATATGGTACATTTCCAATTATGGTAAAGAATTCTATTGGTACAGCTGTATAACAACCTAGTACGGACTCGTACTATTTCGTACAAATCTTATCCCTTACTTTATGCTCTGATCCACGTGTCCTTGAGAAATTCCCGCTCTTTCTTGAGTGTCATCGAAATTGTACTGCCCTCGAGGCAGATCATGAAGGGTCTCTGATTTGCTCCCTCCAGGTATGCGTTTTCTAGTCAAATCTGGTCCTTACTTCGTGCCGCCCGAACTCAAGCCCGAGGTACCGTTAAGTCCCTGAAATCGAGCTCTCCAATTTCAACCGCATACAGATAGTCCCCGTGTTTCTTAAAATGAAATGATATAAAACGATTTAAATTCCCGAAGTCTTTTATGTTGGCATCACTCTTATGACCTAAGCGTTGAAATGACCGAAGCGTCCCGTCGGTTCTCTTCCCCAAAAGCATTAAATGTAGGTCAGAGTCGGTCGGCCATCAATATTAATGAACCGTCGCCGCCTTCCTCTATATATACTTGTTTTTCTCTTCTCATTAAGAACGTTTCCACCTTGCAACACCTATTTTCCTCTATACATTTCCTTTTCATCACCAGTTCCTCCGCCGTATTCGCTCAAAACCTCGCCGGTTTATTCATTTCTTCCTTCTTTTTCTAAAGAACCGATGGCAAAAACTTCCACGTTTGTTCCTCAGAAAGAAGGAACCTCCACTTGTACTTCCCATCCGGCCGGTGGTAAACCGCCAGCGCTTCACGAGATCGTACCGAGCAATTTTTCCTTGAAAAAGGACTTTATAGTTGAGAACCCTCTCGACGTCCCCGGCCGTCGAGAGCACGCATCGAGATACATAAGGTCAATTGAGAAAGAACACCTCGATGCTGTGAGGAGAGAGTGTAAATAGGAAGAGAAGGTCATTCTGCAAATACCTTCTTGTGAGGGGAACATCACAACTTATGTAGAGGGGTTCCTGAGTGTGACACATACCCCTTTACGTTGGGTCAATTCTATATGCTCGTGCTTGAATTCTGTCGAAGATATTAGGTCACCCTGGGTCAGATTCATCCATCCTTTTGGCGGATCGTAATAATGATGAGGTTCTTCATCGAAAAGGCCGGGCTCGGGTTCACCCTCAGCCACCTCAACCGATTATATCGACCTCAACATTTTCGTGGTTTAATCAAACTTCAACGCCAATCAACCAAGTCCTTCTTCGCCAGTAACGACGAAGGTAAGGATCGAAGTTTGATGAGCCGGTTCATTTGGGTGAGGACCGTCGATGTTATTCCCGAGGAGTTCCTACCGTTCCCCGAGAAATGGAACTTTAAACGTGAGTGGAATTCTTTGCTTTAGTTCTTTTCCATAAATTTTGCTAAACTTCGCATAATTATTCCTTTCCTTTTTTTGCAGAGGTTCTGTGGATGCCTAATGCGGTCATCGACCTTGAGGATTGGGTTCGCAAACTAGCTGCTACTTCAACATACGACAAAACACATGTGGCGGGACTTGTTGAAGGGAAAGTGGGAAGCGAAACACCACGATACGCGTCATAATGTCTCTTTCCTTATTAAGAATGTCTTTTTTCATGTGACCCGATTCCTCTATTGCAGGTATTGATGAGTTTTCAAGATGAGGCCGCCCCCTCTCGGGGAGGAAGTAGTATCTTCTCTCCAAAACCAAAGGAGGATAACAAGAGAAAAAGGTCCTTGAAGAGCTAGGATACTCAAATCCAAGCAGAGCCCGCTTAGAGGTGCAAGAAAAGTGTCATCATCAATGTGGATATTGACTCGGCCCACCAGTTCTTGGACGATGATGGTGACGAGATAGAGGGTTCGACGTTAGTGACTCGAACCAGGAAATCTTCCAAGGCTATCAAGTCTGCTGAGATCGGGTCCCCTAGCCTCGAGGAAGGAACTTTAAAAGAAAAAAGGGATGAAGGCCTTGTGTCACCTGACATGGTAACTACTTCTCAAACTTCTGGAAATACTCCAAAGGGAGCGAGCTTCGAAGCTCCATTGCCCGAACAAAGTGCCTCGGGTGATCTCCCGAGGCCATGATAGCAGGTCATTCCTTGTCATTTCCGGCCTTCTCCGAGGATTCCATTAGGGATCCTCAGAACTTGAAGACGTACGAGCTAGGCAGAGTACCGAGTGAAAATGGCCCCTTCCAGCGTTGCTTTGCTGGGGTCGATGAGGCCGACCCAGCGAATGCGATCTCGATCTTCAAGGAGGCTCAACGTCTTTGCTCAATTGTAAGTTTTTAGTGGCGTTGCAATTCTCTGATGCCAACTTTTCTTCTTTTGTCTAATCGATCACTCTTTTCCTTTCCGTAAGCCTTTAACAAATTGAAGACCGAATTGCGTCATTGTGAAGCCGAGTTGTGAAGAGCTTCGAATGAGGAGAAAACCCTTAGGATTTTCCTTGACAAAAAGGAGGAGGAACTGAAGCATCTCCGATCAGAGTTGACCAAAGCTCGTGAATACGAGAGTGAGAAAAGTAGGTAACCTCTGTTCTGAAAAAATACGGGCTACCTCTCCCGTCTTCGGAGGCTAATACTTCAATTTCTCAGCTGCAACAAAATCTAGATATGATTGGGCAACTCCGGGATGAGGTAGATCAAGTTCAAGCCGAGTGCAGTGAATAGAAGGTGAAGATGGACACCCTCGTTGTGGCTAAAAATGATGCACTGGTGAAGGTATCGACCCTCGAGGTTGAACTTCAAAATGCTCGAGGGAGCAACTTGTTTCAGGCTGGCAGAATAGCCGAACTTGAGGCTGGTCTTGCAAAGGCCAAGACCGAAGTTGTGGAAGTCTGGGCCGAAGCCAGAGAAATACAAGCCAAGGCCGATAGGACGGTGGCCATCTATTTGAAGGATGCTAATGATGCT